AAGAGTGCTGGGTTTAGATGACCCCAGCTAGATGCCTATCTAACCTGCTCTTGAAGACCCCCAGGGTAGGGGAGAGCACCACCTCCCTTGGGAGCCCATTCCAGACTTTGGCCACTCTAACTGTGAAGAAGTTCTTCCTAATGTCCAGTCTAAATCTGCTCTCTGCTAGCTTGTGGCCATTATTTCTTGTAAGCCCCGGGGGCGCCTTGGTGAGTAAAGTCTCACCAATTCCCTTCTGTGCCCCCATGATGAACTTATAGGTAGTCACAAGGTTGCCTCTCAACCTTCTCTTGTGGAGGCTGAAGAGGTCCAGGTGCCCCAGTCTCTCCTCATAGGGCTTGGCCTGCAAGCCCTTAACCATACAAGCGGCCCTTCTCTGGACCCTCTCCAGGTTATCCACATCCCACTTGAAGTGCGGCGCCCAAAATTGCACGCAGTAAGTGTGTGTTTAACTCAAATTTAAGAATGCCAAGCAAAAAGTTACTTCTGGAAATATGGCCCTTAAAGTCTTAGGAACAAAAAAAAAAGATGAATACTATAAGTTTTGGGAGTCTGGAGATTAAAAAATGTATTGAGACAGTTTCCCAAGCAAGGATGTGTGAATGAAAACCCATCAGTTTAATCTTAGAAATGTTCTTCTCTCTGCATTGCTTGACAGGATCATAGAATGGAAAGCTTGTTTGCTTGACAGCCATAAGTGATAGCTGGCATTTGTCTCCTAATGAGGCAAATATCCCTCATCAGTGTAATTTCTTATGAGAACATAAAAAGGCTAACAAAAGTGAAGAGAGGACCCACATCATTTAAAAGAGCAGGGCTGGTAGATACTTTTCAACCTAAAACTTTTCCTATCCATTTTACACCATTCTAATTTGTATAGGATGCCTATGGGCTGTCTGTAACATGTATGGCTATCACAATTCTGTTGTGTAATTGCCATTACCATCATGCACATCCAGAAAAACTCTGTTTGGTTTAATTGGGGTTAAATCTGACACATGCAGGTGCTTGTACATGTGATGGATGTCACAATGTACATGTGACAAAAATGTAATTTGTGTGGCTTAATGGCATCAAGCAATTACACATGTGCCAGTTTTGGGGGTTTTAAATGACTTTGCATCATTGCAAATGAAATTATGTCTGGATGTAGTTTACTTTGCAATATTGTAAAGTGCAATGAAGCAGCTGTCCACTCGCCTTCCAGCTGTGGGAGAGGTAGGCAGGCCTCGCAGAAAAAAAAGGGTTGGGCCTCTCGCCACTTCCGTCTTCAGCAGGCATTTCACTGTTGCAGGCACCTACTGAAGGCAAAAAGTGGCGAGGGCCCCAAACCTTATTTATTTATTTATGTTTTTTGCAGATCCTGCCTGCCTCTCTCACAGTTGGGGGGGGGGGTGGGCCTGCCAGTGGGCTGAGCAGTCCCTGCTAGTTCTTCCCTTTTCTCCTTCCCTCTGTGGCGGTGGCATCCCCCCCCGCCCCCCGCCTGGGGCCACCCAGGCAGACTGGCAACAGATGGGTTCTATCCTAGCTTGGAGGCAGCACCCAGCCAAATCAAGCTCTTCCCTGAGCCCGCCAGGGTTTCCAGCACCCCGTGCACTGTTCCCACTGCCTGGGACAACCCAGGAACAGGCTGGCTTGCCCCTGAGACAGTGTGAGGAGGCAGCAGAAGGGTGGCTGGGTGTGCTTGTAGTCAGAGAAGGCTGCAGGGATGGTGGACAGGGTGCTGGAAGCCTATGTGGGCTTGGGGAAATGTGGGCTTGGTGGACTTCCAACACCCTGTGCACTAGGGGTGTGCAAAACAGGCCCTATTCGATTTGGATTTGGATTCAGCGTGAATCGGGGACAGTGATTTGATTTGTTGATTTGGATCACTGTCCCTACTTTGATTTGGCCAAACCTGAATCTGAAGATTCGATGCTGATTTGGAGAATCAGCGATTTGGCCATAGACACAGCTTTAAATATTTTTTCTACATACGTCAAGGTACTGGGCATGGTTCATGAATGCTGCAATGTTAGGGTGGATGGAGTGTCCCACAGGAGCGTGGGGGCCCCCATGCATCCTCAGCAGCGAACCTGGAAGTGGACTTGAAGTATTTCTGGTCCACTTCTGGGCTCTCCAGAAAGCATCTGGCTTGACGATCAGCCATGGGGGGACCCGGGGTGCCCCCCCAGGCCCAGGAAGTACCAGGCACCGAGCTGGAGGAGTGCAGGGGGGGCCCCAGTGCGCTCTGTGGCAGACTCGGAAGGGGGACCGAAGGGGCTCTTGGGCCCCTTCCAAAGCATGCTGGGGAGCCCCCCATGCTTCCATGGGACGCTTCATCCTCCCCACCATCTCAGCATTCATGAGCCACCTGCTACCTAGAGGTATGTAGAAAAAACATTTAAAACTGTGTCTATGTCTGAATCGCTGAATCTCTCCAAATTGATTCGGAGGGTTCTGATTCAATTCAGAGAGATTAAAGGGTCCTCTGATTTGATTAAGATTCGGAGATTCAACCACCGAATTGGGCCGAATCTTCACTGAACGAATCAGGGACCGAAGCTTCGGACAGCCCTACTGTGCACCATCTCCACCACTTTCCCTGCTTGCCCCAGGGGCAAGCCATCCCATTCCTAGGCAGTCCTAGGTGGCAGGAAGGTGGCAGGACAGTGCATGGGGCACTGGAAGCTCCGGAGGGCTCAAGGAAGAGTTGGATCTGGCTGGGTGCTGCCTCCAAGCTGGGGCAGCACCTGCTTGCTAGCAGCCCACCTGGGTGGCTCCAGGGGGTGCCTCTGCCATGGAGGGAAGGACTACAGTCCCCCGCAGCTCAGGAGCCACTTGGCCTGTTTCCAACTTGCCCCCTGGCGGTGCGAGAGTCCACTAAAAAATAAAAAAAGTAAGATCAGGCCCCTTTCCACTTCTGCCTTCAGCAGACAACTGCTGAAGGCAGCAAGAGACCTGAACTTTGGGGTTTTTTTCTGGCAGGGTCTGCCTGTGACCAGGGGGAGCTGGTGGTGAGCCAAGTGGCCCCTGAGCTGTGGGGGGCCCGGTCTTTCCCTCTGCATTGGCAGAACCCCCCAGGGCTTTCCAGGTGGGCTGCCAGTGTGCAGGTGCTGCCTCAGCTTGGAGGAAGGACCCAGGCTTATCCAACTGTTCCCTAAGCCCTCCTGGGGAGCAGTGCCCAGCAGGCTTCCAGCAGGCGAGCATGGGGAACAGTTGGATTGGGCCTGGTTCTGCCTCCAAGCTGGGGCAGCCCCCAGGCTGCTAGCAGCCCACTGAGCAGGGCCCCCTGACCGGGAGGGCACTGCTACCACAGAGGGAAGGACCAGGGCCCCCTGCAGCTCAGGGGCTGCTTGGCTTACTGGCAGCTCCCCCTCTGGCTGCAGGTAGAAAAAAAAGAAAGGATTGGGCTCCTTGCTATAACATGATGGAAAAATTGAAATGGTGGGTTTCAATTAACCCCCCCCCCCCGTTTCAATTTAGAGGGCATAAAATAAAAGCTTGGGGATTAAACCCCCATCACTTGTACAAACACTCTACTATTGCAAACTGGGGCTGAATTCAACCAGGTTTTTCTGGTTTAGTTTTTGCTCACCTTTCAAAGCCATAAAATATAGTAAAGCTAGCTGTGCAAATAAGATTCCACCATTTCTATTTCATGGAAGCTGTCTTCTATATTCTGTAGGTACAATGTACTACTAACTGGGTGGACAAAAATGTCAAGCCACATAAATAGCTCTCTTTCACTCATAGCAAAAAATAGGAAAATAAGCTTAGACTGAACATTTAAAGGAAATTACTTGTCAAAAATTAATTTGTATCTCCTTAATTTATTTAATAAATGAAACAGCTAATTGTTT